GGGTGGGGGCTTTTTTAGCTTTATATCATGTTGAAATGTCATGCCCTCTTCAAAAACATACACAGAGTGTTGCTTTGACTCAGTCATGCATGTTTGAGAAATCCTTAAATCTCCTGTGGTAGCCATGTGGAAGTGCTTGCTGGCACAAGCACGAAGCGCTTGGTGGTACAAAGCTCCTCCCATTGTACAAAGCTCCTCCCTRGAGCTCAGTCTGCAGCTGAACTCCAGCCCCACAGAGCACCCCATCTTTGCACCTCCCCAGCACAGTTCCACCAAAACTGGTGGAACTGCACTTCTGTTGAGCTAATTACGTCTCAATCCAGTTCTTTTTGGATTTTAAAAATGGCTTCAYTGAGGACATTTGTTTTTGGATGCAAAGGAGGAGACTATCCTTTTGTTTACGATTCCTAAGTGTAATATACTGTATGTTGGCTTATTCCTTTTACCATATGAAGATGGACCCTTGATGGACTCATAATGAACTTCTGTTTTGTGAAAGGTTTTGAAGCATAGTTTGAAAATGTGCTGAAGTAGGAGTGTCGGGAATGGTATGTGATTCTTAAAGACACGCAGAGGCCAATTGCAAGATKTAGATATGATGCAAATCCAAATTTATTTTTGATATATACAGCAATTTTATAGGCACAGCCAAGGTGTGAAGGGGATCCATTTTGTTGACCTTAATATCKCATCTCTGCTTTTTCCAGATGATGTGGTCCTATTGGCTTCATCAGATCGTGATCTCCAGCTCTCACTGGAGCTGTTCGCATCCAAGTGTGAAGAGGCTGGGATGAGGATCACTGCCTCCAAATCCAAGACCATGGTCTTGAGTCGGAAAAGGGTTGGGTGCCTTGTCTGGGTCGGGGAGGAGGTCCTGCCCCAAGTGGAGGAGTTTAAGTATCTCGGGATCTTGTTCACGAATGAGGGAAGAATGGAGCGGGAGATTGACAGGCGGATTGGTGCTGCGTCTGCAGTGATGTGGGTGCTGTACCGGTCTGTGGTGGTGAAGCGGGAGCTGAGCTAGAAGGCGAAGCTCTCGGTTTACTTGTCAGTCTACGTTCCTACCCTTATCTATGGTCATGAGCTTTGGGTAGTGACCGAAAGAACAAGATAGCGGATACAAGCGGCTGAAATGGGTTTCCTCCGCAGGGTGTCTGGGCTCTCCCTTAGAGATAGGGTGAGAGGCTCAGTCATCTGGGAAGGACTCAGAGTAGAGCCGCTGCTACTCCACGTCATGAGGAGCCAGATGAGGTGGCTGGGGCATCTGGTAAGGATGCCTCCTGGAAGCCTTGCTGGTGAGGTGTTCCAGGCACATCCCACTGAACGAACAGAAATTTTATAACAACTAAATTCAACAGTGGTATAAAATTGAACTATGTGCCTGGAAAATACATTAACACCCCCACCCCCTTAAATAAACAGACTAAGTCATTGTTATGTTGAATACGCATTGTCTGAAAAAAAATATCAGGCAATAATCCATAAATTTAGCCACTGTTAGTGCAAGTGGAGAAGATTTGTCCATGAAACAACTATGTCATGCTTCCACATCAAGGATTTGTTATGATTTTCTAGAGCTTATTGACAGATATTTCCAAATTTGGTGTGTTATAAATACAAAAACAATACTGTATTGGATTATTATTTTGTCAATAAAACTTAAATATACGATCCCTGATCTGGGTTTATCTGATCCTTTTTCCTTCTCTTCCTGATTGTTATAAACAACAGACTCAACAGCCTTTCTGTATAAACCTACTGGCTTCATTTAGTGCATCCCCTTTGCTCACGTCTCTCGGCTCTGATCTTACTGTTCTGGCCCTGATCACCGTAGACACTTGGCTCTCAACCAAAGAGGCTGCAACAAAGTCTCAGAGGAGTTTCTTCAAAAATGCAAAGACTGAAAACATGTAAACAGCAAAACACAGAAAATATGTGGTGAAAAAGCTTTATCTCTTTTGGAAGTGAAAGCACAACCAGTTACTTGCAGGGCTTACTGAAGGAGCACAACAGAGAAAAGAGTGGCCAAAGGTTGCTTGTTAATGTAAAGATGTAATTTCATTCACAGAACATATGGGGTTGATTGGATTTGATTTGATTTGATTTATTTAACAGAAAAAGATTATTAAAAATCAAGCCTGACTCAGCATAATTGCTGTTTTACAACAGATTCCTGTTCTGCAGCACATAAAATACTCAGAATTACAGCATCACAATCACATCATTATACACCATAGACACAAAGACAAACAAGCATACCAAATTTCAAAAAGGCAGCATTTGCTAAATAGGACCTCTAAATATGAGCACAACAAAAAGTGTCCAGCAGATGGCAGACAAGATTCTTCTTAAAGGGCTGTAGTTTTGAAATGGACTTTATATTTTGAAGAATGTTATTCCATAGTTTAGTATAAACATAGAAGAAAGACCTATGACCGTAACAGTTTTTAAAAGTTGGTAATATCAATTGTCCTT